GTATTGCATGGACCTTGATGTGGCCTTTAGCAATTTGATGATCAATCATGACATTGTGCAGCGATGACGTAAGAAGGAGGAGAGACTTTCAGCCAATCAGCGTCGCCAGCTGAGCTCATCATCGCCTCTGTGTTTGTTGAATGGCGAGGGTGAGCAGTCGCTCAAACTGTCGCGAATAAAGCATTCAAACATCTGCCTCTGTGCTCAGTGGTGTCTGAGGAAGGCTCGACCGAGGGAAGACCCGGTTGTTGGTCCGAGTAAGTATTAAACAAGTCGACATTTAGCCTTTTAAATCAATGTCGTGTTATATTTCAGGTCGTTCGTGTGACAGCCTGTTCTGCGACTAATGGACGAAGAGCGTCAACAAGTTGCTAATTTGTGTCTCAGCTGGAGCTAACAAGTTGTGTGTTTGTGCTACACCACCAGGTGGTAATGGCTGGGTTTGTCACATGAAACCCTCCCATTCAACACGTTAATCGACGCGCTTGATTAGCTGCTCTTCATTTTTGACATTTATGTGTTGCGTTCACGTGACACTGATTTAATTGGAAACTGTCATTTGACATTCTTGGCGTTTATTTCAAGTCATGGCATATGAGCGATGATTTTTTTAAATGAATTCTTTAAAATGCGTATTTCTTTAAGCTGCCACTGATGAATTTAACCCTGTTGTTGTTGTAGGATGGAAAATGGGGATGTTAATTTGCTCAGGTCTCGCAGCAGAGAGGCACCAGACGTGTCTGCCTCCTCTGACCTGGACAGCTCTCTGGAGGGAGACCCTAGTCCTGGAAGACATCAGCAAGGAGACAACCATATCACCAGCAATGGTAGTAGGAAAGACCGATTAATGAAAATGAGCTTTAGCTTGTGTGTTTTAACATGAATAAACCCCTTGTTGTTTTTTTTATAGCTGTACGTTTTGTCAGTGTTACACAGTGAAACCACCCCATGTGATGATGTCTTCCTCTTTAGCAAATACATTGAACTTTGGTACAATTTGTCACTTTGAAGAAGTAAGGATGACTCCCACAGTGGTCACCACAAAAACAAAATTTACCAGGAAAATGACTAAAATGCTAGCGTCAGTTTCTTATCTTTAAACTCTGTAGAAATGTTAATGTTTAATTTTGTCTGTGGCAATTTCCTCATTGTCAAATTAAGTCAACATGTTCTTTTATTTATCGACCATCCTGGAAGGTGGGTGGAGTGTTGCACATTACTCATCGTGGTTGATCAGTCAATCAGGGCTTATTTGTTCATCTGACATCAAAACTTTTAATCCATTGTAGCCTTACTTATAGTTGTGTGGTACCCCTAAAGGTGTGTGTAATTTAGGTTTTGAGCTGCACATCTAATGACCTTATTAATCTTAAGTGCAGTTCTCTAATTGAAACATTGGAATAAAAATGTTGGGTACGATTAAGTTACGAGTAGATTTATTTAATCACAAGGTTAAAGTTGAGAATTGAAGAGATTTATGTCAGAAATCTCCTCAGAGCAAAGCTATGTTTTAAAACTCAAATATTTATTTAAAAGCTGTATACAGTATTGATCCCCTGTTTAAAAAAATCTTAAGTAGTTTTACATGTTGTTTTAATTTCAGGAAGGATTGAAGTAGAACATGTGATGAGCAAAAAGATGCAACTGAAGAGGAAAGCAGAGGTGGGTGCCTTTTTTATGTTCGTCAATATAAATTTACATATGGTAATGCAACACCTAAATTAAACTGTTCCTCTCAATGTAGTACAGAACTTTTTTTTAAACCATATATTTATTTTAATTTATACTTGTGTTTTTTTGTGGATAATTTGAGAGGACATGTTGTACCTTTGCACGAAACATGTTTTTTTTTTGTATATGTGGCCATGCGATATGCCAATTTAAAATGTTAGCAGCTCAACAATGCCAGTTGAGAATCTCAACAAACTCGACAAGGATGCAGGTTCATAACTTCACCAAAACAAACGGTTTAACAAAAATAACACTCTTTATTGTCGTGATACATCTCAGTAATCCAGGTAGGAAAAAATCAAAAAAAAGTTAAGTAGGTCCTCTGGATGGGTTCTTCTTTAGTGAAAAATTTCGTCTCTCTTCCAGGAGACTGCCAATAGGTCAATATGTCAAAAAGTCAGGTGATGGGGCACATGACCCTCTATGAACAATAGAGCTAATCAAGCCGATTGTTAAGCTATGGCCCTCTTTAGCATGTGACTAATCTGTTTGTCCACCATGTGGAGGCAGTGCTTATCTTTGTTTACACTTCATGCAAGACGTGTGGCTGCGGCCCAGCGATGACGTAATTGCGTGTGTGTCACCGTCAGCATTGAGTGTTTGTGCTGGGAAAAGACGTGGGGGATATATTATAGCAGGGGTTCTCAAGTCATTTGGGTCTGGGGACCCCTTACAAGGGCAAAAAAAATTCCAGGGACCCCCTCATAAACCCCATGCTGTTTTAAAAGAGAATTTATTATTTCAACCCCTAAATGCCATGGGAATGTATATTTTTATTAAGTTTATTATGTTTGTTTTATTAGTTCATTGTTCTCAATGCATTTCAAAAAAATTAAAAAAACAATTAACAATTTAGTGAAATTTTGTGGACCCCCAAGATACCTCTCGCGGACCCCTGGGGGTCCTGGGACCCCAGTTTGAGAACCTCTGCATTATGGTAATCCCTCCCTCTACCTTCCCACCGCATACGTCATGCGCATAGCTTAGCGTGTAAGTAACTGCTAGTTGCTAGTTTAGCTTGTTGGTTCAACAGATGCGGGAGATGGATGACGAAAAACACTTCTCCTATTTTCGAATGTCCGCTGCTCGTTTCGACAAACTTGCCCACCAGATCTCCCCTCACCTTCAGCACGCACCGACACAGTAGACCAGTCACAAATGTTTGTACCTGCGGACCGCCTCGGTGAGTTTCTCTTCGAAACTATCCATGTTTGGAAACAAAAACCGGCCTCTGGAAGAGAGTAGTGGGTAGCGGTGTTACACAGCATATACTGACATCCAAACAAAAACGCTCGTCAACTTTGAACCAATCACACGCTCCGAGCCGCATCCTCCGCATCTCGGAGTGCTGACTGGGGGCAACGCACAGGACAGCTGTCACCGGGGGATCACAGCGGGAGTGCAGACGGAGGTTGTCACTCAGCGGGGGTTAAAAGGCGTGTGACAAGAAGTATAAACCAGCCTTAAAGCTGAGTTCACCTGAAACTCATCAGTCTGAAGTCTGTTGGAGGCGAGAAAACGTTTCACTAAAGAAGAACCCATCCAGAGGACCTACTTATTTTTTCTTTTTGAACACTCTTTATTAACTTAAATAAAAAAACAGTGGTATATCACTTCATCTCTAAGGGAAGAGAAATGAACATGAAACTAAAATCACTAATCTGTTTAACAGCAACAAACATAAAAGAACCTGAAATGTTGAATAAATAAAACAAATTAATGATCAAACAGTAAAACAAAACAATTGGTTAAATCAAATGATGCAAAAAAAAAACAATGAAGTAAATGAAAATCAAACAATAAATTATAGAACAAAATGGTGAAAGCTCAGTCACTCGGTTACCACAGAAGTGAACCGAACACTTTTCAATCTCTTTAGCAGTCGAATCAGCAGTAATATTGATGGAGTAAACTGGTCACTTCACGGAATCCAAACAGGAACTGGCAAGAAAAGACAGCAGAGCATCCCGTTGTGTCAGAACGTCCCTGCAAGTCAAACGTTTACATGCGGCGATACACAGCACCTGCCTACAAAACAAATAATATCAGCACTAGATTCAAACAAGAAAATATAAAAACACTCCAGTAAATAAAGATAGCAGGCATCTTACCAGGAAACGGAAGCGCAGCCTCCAGGGGAGAGAGCAGATCAGCAGCACGACAGCAGGAGGAAGCCGTGCGCCACTAACAATCCCGACTGCAGCTGGTAACGCCAGTCAAGCAGCAGTGCTACCGAATACATCAACAGGTGTAACACCCAGTAACCACAAAACCCTGACTGCCATAGATGGAAAAATGACACTTACAGTTTCTGATGGGCAAATCCTACCGACAACCAGCTGACACGCAGCAGGAAGAACAAAGTTTTACACACAGGAGCTGCAACCTGCCTAAACATAAAGCAGCCTGCCTCGCCCCTCAATCAGTGCTGCACACTTGACCACACCAGGTGCACTGGGTGACAAAAGCCACACACCATCTGTGTATATATAATCTGTTATCTGCATATTTGAGCTAGAAATTCAGTGACACCAAAGAACAAAAAATGTTTTTGACATAATAAAGACAATTTATCTTAAAATGATTGGTATTTAAAATTTTATTTTCTTTCTAGTAATTATTTCAGATTTTTTATTAACGCATCAACACACACAAACTTTTTTTAAACACATTTTTACACTAAATGAATTCAGCACAAAATTATACAAGTTTTTTTTATTTTTATTTTATTTGAAAATTTATTTCAGATTAAAAAAATAAAAAACAAGCAATCAGTAGAACAAAAAATAAAACATGTGCATACATAACCAAGATCCCAAATACCACTACTTTTCTGTTTGAAAGGGAGTAGGAAGAAGTGAACACTTATTTAATCCTACCTCTTATCTTCATTCATTCATTCATTCATTCATTCATTCAGTTCATTATAAACTGAGCCATTACAAAACACTGCAACCTACTGCTGGAAGTGAGTTTGAAAAACCGATCCAGTTCTTATGAGTATTTATTTGCAGACAGTGTAAAGTTTATCACATCACTTGAGGACCGTTCCACCCAGAGCCTCCCTCTGGCTCAGAGTCTCAACAAATGGCAATAAGAAATTCACCAAGAGGCACATTATGTGTCTAATTGTGTTGTATCAGTGCGAGGCATGTAACTAGATTGTCTCTCAGGAGTTAGTTGTTCTCATAACAACCTTAATCAGAGTGTAAAAATAAACTGACTGCTCATTCTAAAATATTCTAACAATCTCTTTACACCATCTTTTCTTACACTATAACTGTTTGTCTGGTGTAGATTTTAAAGTGCCTGTGACATGCACATCCATCAAATACAATAAGTCAAAGAAAACATCTTTATATTTAAGAAAATTGACATAATAAACACGATTTTACCCACAACAGGCATTTTTTTATTTGAAAGAGGAACTCCTAATGAAAGAAAATGCTCTGATCTTTGTTTATTGAAACATTATTTGAACTCTGACTTTTCCTGATCTGACAGTGACCCAAAATAATCTATATTCTTCTCTACAGCCTGTTAGCGACTTTAGTAATGCTCTGTTCACATGCAGACATTCCCCTTTGACATGACTGCCTGTTACTACACATGCAAATACCTCAACAGTTGTTCATCTCAGCAGGAAGACTTGTTTTTGTTACAATATGCTGTCTGTTGCAAAAATGCTTTCATATTTATCACATTATCGCAAGTCTTTGTCTCAATTGCGCAGCTTTTTCTTCTGTTTGTTTATACCATAAATGCGCACAAAAAAACTGAGAACATGCTCAAGGCTGTCAAGTTCACCAGAAATTATCTTGATACCAAACTTTGCATCTACAAATCGATTATTGCGACTGTTTTTAGAGTACTGACTTGAAGTGAGACTGTTTTTTGTGTTTTGCTTGGCCAGTTCCTGAAGGACAACCTGATGCGTCAGTTTGACAGCCAAGTCAACGACTTCATGGACAGTCTGATCGAAGAATTGGCGAGCTTCAAGACTGAACCTGTGTCTGCTGTCTTCTCACCCCCACTGTCAGACAAGGAGAGGAGCAAACATGGGTAACTCTGTTCAGCAGTCTGCTAAAGTAGGGCTGGGTGACACTGTCAAAACAAAAAAATCATAACGATTAATATGATTAATAGATGACAATGGCACTTGCATGTTTTTTTAACTCCAAATCACGATTTTGTTCTTTCCCCAAGTCCTCTCAGTTCATTCTTCTCCTATTTTCCTTTTTATTTTTTTTGCAGGCATGTCCAACCTCTTCACAGCCAGGGAAAGCACTTCATAAGTCGGCGATCCCTCCTGGAGTATGTTCATTTAAATTGGATTCTTTGGCATTGTTTTTGTTACACCAGGTTTATGTTGTCTGTTCTTCCACAGTGAGCTGTTTGAGGTGAACCACATCAGGACCATCTACCACATGTTCATCGCTGTGCTCATTCTCTTTATTCTCAGCACACTTGTTGTAGATTTCATCGATGAAGGCAGGTAATGATAAAACGGATAATAAGTTTACTTTTTGTGATTACTGAGAAACAAACCTTGAGGGGAAAAAAGTGCTTCTCTTGTTTCTCATTTGCCTCAGACTGGTGTTGGACTTTGACCTGCTGGTCTATGCATTTGGACAGTTTCCTTTGGTGGTTTGCACATGGATCTACATGTTCCTGTCTGTGCTGCTGGTTCCCTACAACCTGTTTAACCTGTGGTGTCAGAGTCAGTCTGGCTCTCATGGTCACCACAGGTTACACAATTGTCTGTTTGGAGCTGCGTACCTCCTCTACCAAGCTTTAGGTTTGGGATTCCTTCCTACGTATGTGGCGGTGACCAACAGTTTGCCACCTGCGTCCTGCTTCATCATCACCTTGGAACAGGTAGATAAACTGTGAGTTTGGTTTTAATTAAGACTAAGATGGCAGGATTTGCTGTACATCTTTTTTTATATGCATAACACTGAAACATCAGCGTGTCGTTACTTTGCAGCCGAAGCACGCACAGGAGACAAATCCAGATTTTACATTTGAACATTTGTTTGCAGAATAATAAGCCATACGCAACCTTCAGCTGGACCAAATACAGACTTTTATTCAATTTCCTAATGTTTGGTACTGATCCAAAACAATAGTTCACTTATTCATCTTCTTCCAGACCAAACCACATGCATATGGAGGGTCCTCCCTGTCGAGCACTTCAGTCGTTAAACATAAATCCTGCAATCTAATGAAAAAAAAACTTTTGTCTGTTTAGTGTGAGGTGTGTTTTAATTAATCTGGCTCTTAAAAGTGCAGTTTGATGTGAGTGCCTCTTGACATGTATGGGATAAATCTTGTGCCAGCAGGAATTGAATTTGAATTGCTCAGATTGAATCTGAATGTGCATAATTTGAAATTGAATGCATTGGCATGAAAATGAATTTTACTAAATTGAAACTGAATTTAATGATTTGAAACTGAATTTAAAGTTTTGGATTTTAATTAATCTGCTTTGAAACTGTATTTTGGTTTATTAAAAATTCAGTGTGACTGCTTTTCGCTTTCAGTTCCAAAATTCAGATTTTTATGTCGCACATCCTGGTCCTTGAGAAAGCCAGCCAGAGCAATCAAACACAGATCCACAGATTTACGTTTCACTTTGTTGTTTCCCTTCTGTAATGTAACAGAGTTGATGCAATCCACTGTAAAAGTGACAGTTATTTTATTGTTAATTTAAAATGTTAATTTACATCACATCATGGATCTGTCAGCAGCAGCATATGTGATCCATAATGTGATGTAAATGTAACATTTTCTACATATAAGTAAAATTAATCACTGCAAAAAAATAACTGTCTTTTTTGTCACTTTTACGGTAGGGAAACTTCACCAAAGTGAAACATAAATCTGTGGATCTGTGTTTGATTACTCTGGCTGGCTTCCTCAAGGACCAGGATGTGTGACACAAAAATTTGAATTTTGGAACTGAAAGTGAAAGTAATCAAACAGAATTTTTAAGAAACCAAAATACAGTTTCAAAGCAAATTAATTCAGGAACAAAACTTTAAATTCTGCTTCAAATCGTAAAATTCAGTTTGAATTTCAAACCAATGCATTTAATTTCAAATTATGCACATTCAGATTCAATCTGAGCAATTCAAATTGAATTCCTGCTGGTAAGTGATTTATCCCATAGACATGGCTCATCTCAGAACAGAGTGTACGCTAATCACAGCTTAATCTCAATAAAAATGTGAATTTTATCAAAAGTAGTCTAGATATTTCAATAAAAACAAGTAGGTGTGTAGTGCAATAAAAAATCAAGAGCAAACAGAATAATTTACCTTTCAGTGCTATTTGTTTTTGTTTATTATTTCAGGTACGCCTAATGATGAAAGTGCACTCCTTTATCAGAGAAAATGTGCCCAGAGTGCTCAATTCAGCAAAAGACAAAAAAGGTCTTTTTTTTTTTTTGGTAATCTAAAATTCTTACTTGCCAATGCATAAATATTTTTTTTCATTTTTGACATTTTTAACATCCTGTCTTCTATCATCAGGCCCTGGTCCAGTGGTTCCTCAGGTTTCTCAGTATCTCTACTTCTTGTTTGCACCCACACTGATTTACAGAGACCAATACCCCAGGTAAGCACTCTGTAAATATTTGTATAAATTTAAATGTTGAAATGTTCCAGTGGCTCTTTCAGTAAAGAAAAAAAAAACATTCTTCATTCAGAAACCCAGTGATCAGATGGAGCTATGTGGCCACAAAGCTACTTCAGGTACTGAAATATTCATTTTTCTTTATGCTGAGGTTGCATATTGTTAGAAATGAAAAGTAGTAACTTAGACAATCTAACATTTTAACTCACTCCACAGGTACTTGGATGTACGTTTTATACCTACTACGTCTTTGTGCGGCTGTGCATCCCACAGTTTCGCATCATCAGTCTGCAGCTGTTTGATCTGCGGGCCATGGTCCTTTGTGTCTTTAACTCCATACTGCCAGGTACAATTAGGCACAATATAAACAGTTTAGATTATTTTGTCTTGCCTGATAAATGTCTTTATTTGTATACATATTTATTTATTTATTTATTTATTTATTTATTTACTTACTTACAGGAGTTCTGATTCTGTTCCTGGGATTCTTTGCCTTCCTTCACTGCTGGCTCAATGCTTTTGCCGAGATGCTTCGCTTTGCAGACAAGATGTTTTACAAGGTGCTGTGCTTACACCGTCTGTAAAATGTTAGTCTCCTTTTGTTATACATATTTAAATGTTTTTAATGACTCCGACAGGACTGGTGGAATTCAACATCTTATGCCAATTACTACCGGACTTGGAATGTAGTGGTTCATGATTGGCTGTTTTACTATGTGTACCTGGACTTCCTGTGGGTGAGTAGCTTCTCTGCTGATAAAGTGCAGTACATTTTCTAATGATGGCAACTTTTTTTTAAAATGTGTTAAATATATTTTTATATTGTAACTTGCCAATTGACATGAACACTCAGACTCTATGCCGGGGATGTCAGATCCTGGCCCTGGAGGGCCACCATCCTATTTTTAGATGTTTCTCAGCTCTGATTGAATTAATGGGTGATTAACAGGCTTCTGTGGAACATAAAGAGGTTAATTTAATCACCGAGTCAGATGTTAGAGCAGAGAAACCTGTAAAACGTGCAGGATAGGGGCCCTCCAGGACAAGAACACCCCTGTCCTGTACTTCTACCAAGACTAAACAGAGTCTCATTTAAGTTTTATACAAATCCTTGAATCGCTTTAAGACAGTTCTACACATCAAGTAACATTTTTACCGAAGTTTAAGGATCTGATTAAACTTCGACATTATTTTGTTTGTTGTGATCTTTGCAGATGTCTCAGAAGCGTTTCCGACTAGCAGCCATGCTTTGTGTGTTTACACTGTCTGCAGTGGTCCATGAGTACATTCTGACCATTTGCTTTGGCTTCTTTTATCCTGTCCTCTTCTGCCTCTTTATGTGCTTTGGACGTAAGTTAAAAAATATATATATATATATTTTATTTAAAAAAGTAAACCAGATAGTGTTTTTTTTTTATTTTCTATGTGAATTTGTTGTTGTTATTTCTAATTTAATTTATTAATTTTTTGCAGTGTTGTTCAACTTCATTATGCATGACAAAAGGAAGGGCCCCATTTGGAACATATTCATGTGGACGTCCATATTTCTAGGCCAGGGTTTTATAATCTGTCTGTACTCCCAGGAGTGGTACGCCAGGCGCTATTGTCCACTAAAAGAGGTAACGCATTGCTTTAAGGTCATGTGATTTGTCTTCTATTTATTCAGTGTCATTTATTGCATGGACACCAGTATACTTTTCTCATGAGCGTTCTGTTTCAGGCTTCTTTCCTAGATTTGTTGAAGCCTCGCTCTTGGAGCTGTCAGGGCCTTGATGGCAGACTGTGATGACCTGTGAGCTGCGACGTGACTGAGGGAACGTACTGCTCATCAAGACTCGACCAGACTTTAAATCAGCGTCATAACGTCTGGTCTCTTGTTCATTTCCTTGCACTGTAATGTAACTGTATGAAAATGTATGTGCTGAACTGCCAAAAATAGTAAAATCACACTGATGCCTTATCTGTTTAAAGTTTTTAAAGGCAACCCCCAAAAGACTTCCCAGTGCACATAAAAGTAAATTTCTGTTTTTGTTTTTGCCTTGATCCTATTTAAAACCCCCTCTTTGTGCCACAAATAAAACAGTGGCAATCATGATGACATGGCAGCTGAATCCAAACAATATAAACTTTAAGTGCAATAATGGTTATTATTTAACGAAGTTTGTGCTTGAAATGCAATTAAAAGCATGAATGAAAAGGTAGAAAATCTTTTATATTTATGAGAAACTGTTTTGTTATAAAAGGTTAGAGCCTGTAGTATTAGACATGGTTAAACTGAGGATATCAGACTAATAAAGCCAAGAGGACACCAACATGTCAGACCTGTACCATTGTGTTGATCTTCATCTGCCAAGTCAAACGTTGTGGAGCTTTTAATCAAGAATTGTGAACTTTGACTAAACATAAAAACTGTGCCAGCATTTTTGTTAGTATTTAAGTGTTCAATATTTACTGTATTCTACTTAATTTGATCTGAATATCTAAATGTGTTGAAAAGACTTGATGTTACAGACGTGTTTTGGTTTTGACCAAGGCTGATCTAAAGTGATTGTTAAATGTAAAGGAAAATTATTACAAAACTCTCCACTGTAAAACCTGCAGCTGGCTGCTATGTTCTGACAATGAGCTGAATTTATGGGGACCAATATTTGAATTTTTCAAAAGAGTTTAAATGTTTTGTTGCAATCATACAATTATGTATTTTAATTGATTTGTTTTAAAGAACTATGCTCATTCTGTTCTTGAAATGTTTGTACTTTCTTGTGAATCGTTAATGGGCTTTCAATGTTTGAGATGCACAATGCAGGGATAAAACTGCACTTGTATTTATCACCACCAGGGGGCACTGTTGTAAAGCTTATTTTGATCAGTGAAGTTCCACTCTGATGGTCTCAGTTGCAATATCAACCAAACAAGTAACTTGTTTGTAGGTATTCTGGATATGTCAAGTTTATTTTCTCTTGTAAATTCCACACAGTTTGAAGCTAATGCTTCATGTTTATAATTATGGTATTCATAATGAAGACAAGCCAAACTGCAATGAATGTTTAATGAAATGTATGTTTTGGAGGACTAAGATTTGGCTACTTAATGTCACTTTATATTTTAATGTGATTTTGGTATTGAGCAGTGGTCATTTCTGTGACCATGTTTTGTACATCGTTTGTGTTTGTGGGCAAATTTATGACTTCCGTTGTCAGAATATGGATTAAGAATAAAAGTTGTATTCTCCTAATTGTGTATTATTCAATGTATGCATGCTGTTTTCTTGTAACTTTATATAAATGTTTCTCTGCAAATACTTGTATCCACATTAATATAAACCTGACAATTGCAAAAAATTTATAGAACAAATTATTTTTTTGTTCTGTACCTATACAGCATTTATCATCATACAACATACAAAATAGATGGCAGACTTGTGACTTGTTGGATGCTAACAAACAAAACATTAATACCAATATTTTATTTTACCCATTCCAGCTTTAATCCCTTGTAAACCTACACATATGGGCAAAATATGCTATTAGCAAATATTTTAAATGAACTAATGTAAATTTAGTTTAAATTTTTGGAGCTCATAACGTGGTGTTTGTGACCCACAGTGGAGTCGCGACTAGTTTTTGGAAACACTGATTTGACTCTTATCTGATACAAAACAATTTTAAATGGGGAAGAGAATTTGTCGTTTAGTTATTAATGCATTTTCTCTTTTTTTTTTCTTCCCCTCCAAATTCGTTATCCGCTGGGATCAGACACCCCCTGCCTTCTGACTGGTGCCGGTGTTGAGTGGTGGAGGATCGCGCTGACAGGAGCCAGAGGCGGACCCCCTCCCCTCCGCTTTGTGCAACGCTTTCTGCGGTAAAGATGGCGGCGTCAGAGGGGCGCGCGGCGACCGGAGAACGGGAAAACGGCTTTGATTAGGGCTAGTTTGACCGACTTTGGTACGCCGGGTAGCTTTGATTACTGCAAGGCTGCCATCTGGATCAACCGGAACAAAGATAATCGCTGCCACACGTCCGGGTTGTGGTTTTATTGTTAGCGGCACAGGCAGGCAGGCTGGGTGGGTTTCACTCCTAGCTGCTAGCATTAGCCCGAACGAGCGAACGGCAGACTCGCTCGGTCGGTGGAGAACAGCGGGGAGGGGATTCAGGTTTAGGCCGCACCAGCTCGGGGGAATGTGAACCCAGAGGTGCGCAGTGGGGGTTGCTTGCTTCGTCCCAAACGTCCACACACACAAAATTACTGGAATGGGACAGCAGGTAGGCCGCGTCGGTGAGGTTACATCGACCGGACTCCAGCCACCACAGCCCCACGCGCCTCAACCACAGGGGAAGGGGAACCGGGGAAGCGTCGCCGGGAGGAGACCCCGAGAATCCGGCTGTAGCACCGGGACGCCTCCGGGCAGGGCAGCTGCTGTAAATGTACCCGATCCTGCAATAAATATATTCACACAGCATTCAGGTAAACACACACACAAACAGATGTTAATAAGAATGTGGTGGGCTGTAGGAGCATGTTTTTACAGTTTGACGGCTGCTAGCAAATCTCTGCTATTTCTAGCGGAAATAGCTGACATCCCACATTATGAGCTTTCAGTCACCCATCCATTTTATACTGCTTTTTATTTATCAGTGTCTTTATTCTCTGAAAGAAAACCCGTACAGTCAACTCACTGTCACGCCTAGATTGAAAGGCACAAAGCTTGTAAAACGATTAAAAGTAATCAGGGCTGTTTGTTGTATCATTTGGTTCCCAAAGTTGGGATCACGACCCCACAACACCAAGCTAATTTAAGAAAGATTGCTAAGCACATTTTTTCTCTTAACTGTTACAAGACACAAACGTACTATATACAATATTACCTACAATATACTATATAACCTTCTGTATAAGACGTGTGTGTTTAATTGACTTGTTAGTGATATTTGTACAATTTAAACCCGCATTATTCTGGCTCACAAGTTTGTGTCACTTATTTTTGGTAGGTCAGGAGCTTAAGAGTTTATGATGTCTAGATTCACATCACTGATCACTGCCTTAGAGGCCGACTAGTTTTTCCACTAAATTAACTCAGTTTATCAACTGCTGCTGGGTTTCTGATGCTCACTTACATCTTTCTGCCTGATAAAGTCCACAGTTAAAACAATTGAAATAAGCTGACTTTATGTATGCATTAATCTGCATTATTATTTGAGTCAATTTTCATATTTTTGTTTCCATGAAGGAACAATATATATTGATCCACATCGATATCGATGGAATGATTACTGATTCAGGTACATCATGTGCCCAATGTTGATCAATATTCTATGGCCATCTAACAGAATTGTTAGATGGGCATATGAGATTGCATCATATTGATCATAGACTTGTTAACTGAATTGAAATCTAATCATGAAAGACTTTTGTGATATTAAGAAATATCGTATTGTCATTCAAACAAATCAATATATCGTGATTTAATCTGGTGATTTACTCCCCTAATGTTAAATTATGTCAATGTATTTTTTTCTGACAATACTAAATAAGGGGCATCAACAAAGCAGAGGCTGTGATGAAATTGACTTAGCTTTCTCTACCATATGTCTGCCTCAAATCAATGCTGTACATAGAAACTGATATACTGTATATACACGAATCCTGAGTGTTTATACTATAAGCTATAAAGAAATGGCCTGGCTTCTCAATCTCAGCCTTCTTTTATTTTATTGAGTGGCTGATCTATGATTTAATTAATAAAATTAAAGACTAAGACTGTGTTTTGGCAGGAATTTGGTGACACAATACATGTCACGACATGGCAATATGTAATATCGAAATATATTGCAATATTGTAAGCAAGGTTGCCATTTTTCCACCAAAAAATGTCAAATTTTTAAGAATTTAAGAGCACACCATTCATTACATGCATATAATCTTAAGCTCAATTTATTTTTTTATGTAGTCAGAAGAAGATGACTGAACAACAGTGAGAACTGCATTTGTATTTCTCACTTTTTATTACAACATCCATCCATTAAGCCTTAATTTAAAATCAGTAGTATTTTTTTTAGTAATCGATCCAGTATCAGGAAATAAAATATCACATTTGTGTCTATTTTCTTACACCCCTATTAACAACATACTATGTTTTGCAGATCTTTGTCATAATGCATCTCTCACAGAGAATCTTTCAACCCCTCAACACATTTTGCTCATTTGCTGTATCTGTGTGTACCTTTACACGCTTATTTTAAACTTGATGTCATGTTAGAAGTGTCCGACTTGCTTGCTGTTGGTTTGATTTCTTATTTGTTTGTGTTGTTTAAATAAGTCATGGATGCTTTACATCTGCTGTGTAAGAAAAAAAAGGCTTAAAACTGGCATAACGTTTGTAGTTGCATTTTATATTCTAGACCCAGCTTTCTTTAGCCATTGCAGTGAGGGATGAGACATAGAAGGTGCAACCTTTTTTTGGAATGGAAGGCATTTTCAATTCCCAGCTCTCGCATCTCGAAAGTAACGGTCCTTACAGGCTGACAGACAAGCCCGCTAAGTGCAGCACCACTCGCTGTCGGCACTGTTCTGTCGACTCTGATGCTGGGACAAGAGAAGCCTTTTTATAGCAGCCAGGATGCAGTCATTCAGCCTCTTTGCAGAGAGACTGCAACTTCAAACCGCACAATAATAGAACAAAGAAACTTAAAGTGGTGAAGCTTCAGAGTGTGCGCTCAGTTTGCCACTTCTACCAGTTTTATTCAGTTCTGATGAAGCATTATTCTATGGAATGGGCAGCTGTGGTCAGAGGTTCTTGTAGCGCCGGTGCATGGCAGCCTCAGCCTCACCTCTGTCAGTCTGCCCCATCGTAGCTTACCCCCATCAGTGTGTGAAAGACTGATTGAAGTGTGAAGCGCTTTGGAGTTTGTAGTGACTTGAAAAAGTGCTATACAAGTTCAGGCCATTTACCATGGAATGTGAAATATTTTTGAAAATCTGTTTTATTGTTAAGAGGTTAAAAACAAAAATAAAGCTTTTTAACCTCTTAAGCCCCAAGGGGTTTTCTTGAAGTTTTTTTCTTAAAATACCATGCCGAAATGTAATTGAGTGTATCTCAGCATTTACAAAAGCTATTTAAATAATCTTGGTATCAAAATGAAGCTAACACTTGGGAGATTTCATCAGAAGTGTAAGTATTAAAACAGCTGCTGTGGTTTTAGAGATATTGGGGATGGAAAATAATATTTTAATTTTTTTTTCACTAGTCTCACCTGAATAATTTTTGCATTAGACTGTATACAACCTGTTTAAAACCATAATGAAGTAGACTAAAAACTCTTGGAAACCATAAATCCATTGTGGACATTACCTGTGCCAAGATTCATGCTGCTAAAATTAACTGGAGCAAAGTTACACAGGTTTTAGTAAAGAAATAATTTTCGCATTTTCTCATTATGCAAAGGACAGACAATGTAGGTACCAGTAATAAATGTTAAGAAATCTTAAGTTTTTACATCCAAAAGTTATTTATTTTTTCTTACCTGCCTTAAAAGACTTGTTATTGAATGATTGTTCTTTTGAAAAGTTATCCAAACATTTATTTGTATGTATGTATGTATGTATGTATGTATGTATG